TGATTCGAACCTCATTAAGTTCGCTTTTGACATTTTGATCGAGCTGCACATCGTCTTCTAGCTCTTGCTTTACTGAAAATTAGGTTCTAATCAGAGAAGGCGACTTTATTAGAACTAATTGAGAACATTTTTGGGAATGGCAAGAAAAAAAACTGATCAAGGAATGAGCATACTGGATGCGTATGATGTATCCCTTCTGCTATTGTGCACGGACATTGCCATTTCCTTTGCCTCTCCCAGCCTTTTCTTCTTGTAGTCATCCAGCCAAGCGCAACTCGATGCCAGCAGTGCCAATGTTTTCCCTTCAAAAATTTTAAAGTGTAAAGAATAATCAAACTTTTTTGGTACCATAGCAAGTCTCAAGCCAAGCTGCGCCCTTTGATGGTTTCTTGACCCCACACTGGGTTGCGCTCATACTCCACGAATGTGAAGATCCGCGGTTATGGAGGATCAGCGATTCGGAAAAAAGTGCAGAGAAGGAAGGTACTGGTATTGAAATCCGCAATTCAGAAGAAACATGGGTAAAGAGGAAGATGGAAACCACTTGATTTCGCCCGCTAGCGTTTTTGGAAAACACTTGATTCGGGACAGGGTACAACACTGTTGCACCAAACTCCATCAGGAAGGTCATATACGCCAGGAAAGGGGGTCGCATTTTGTCCCGAGAAGAAAGTTATTCAGCGTTTTTTCCCCGTTTCCCCGCGCTGTATAAACCCTTCCCATGTTAACGCCGCGACAAACCGCCGATTTCTAATAGTTAGTCGGTAAAAATGTAGAAGAGAGGTAGGTTATTAGATGGAAGAGATGGTCCGGATGAGCAGATCTAGGGGAATAGCACTTACACCGACAATTCACCCATCCCACTTCTAGTCTGTGATTCGGGAGAAGCTGTGATACGCTGGTGGGTGGGACCAACTCATCCCCAAGTAATCCTCTCCACATTGACAAACTATGAACGCAGCACAGAAAAATTATTATATCAAACAAATGGTCTTAGCTAGTTAACTTTATTATGAAAACTCGCTGGTATTTGAAACATACCGCTTCCTGTTGGGCTTTCCGCCAAAAAATTCAATCTCTTCGCGAGTGAAGTGATCAAGCGTACCATCATGAGTTTTTGCGATGGGTAGGGTTTCAATCCGACAGGTAGACGCACTTCTATACCGCACATTGGTAAACTGTCATATTGTGAATTGTCGATGACCACCTTCTCACTACAAGAAAATATCAGGTCATCAGGGCCCCATTATAAGTATCAGTTTTAAGTGACATACCGTTTCCGTTTCTTAGGCCTAAACATCGAGGCATAACTTGAAGCCGGTGATTGAATAGGTTGTGCAGCGCCATATCCTTCTGGATCTTCTTCCATACCCCCACCACCTTCTGTCCAGGGATTTCCTTAACACAAAATGAAAATAGAGAACGTGAAACATGGAGAGGGTGAAATTTGAAAGCCTCAGCGTTTCCGGAAGGTAGTCTGGCTCTTCTTAGTGTCCATGGTCAGAGCGCGTTCATACTTCGCGATCGCGAAGTCTGCACGCGCTCTTAGACTTCATACTTCGCGGCGAGAATCGGAGGATGCGCGCCAAAGGAGTAGATAAGATTCAATCCGCTTAAGCTGCTAGCGAGTGCCCGGGAGAACTAAAAAATAGAAGAACATGAGTTCAGAGAATGGGAGAACTTAATCTAATCGCAAAATGCACAAAATGAAAGAGCACGCGCCAAACAAGTTGACGCAAATTGATCGATTCTTTGTTGTCCTATACTCCTAAATCGCCACATAGATACCTATGCTACTTACCTTTGGCGCCTTTCCTAATATCAACCCAAGTTCGCCAGCGACCAAAGTTCATAGATTCATATCACTTCCTTTGGCGCGCATAATCCTGCAATAAGGCGCCGCAAAGTATGAACGCGATCCCAGCGAGCTATCGATATAGTAGCCCGGTCGCGACTCAAGCGACAGTTGTTGTTTTCATACATTAGAAAACAGGAGATCAGGAAAATAGCAGGATTTGGACCAAAGTAGTAGATGGAAATCGATCGAATCGATACGCTGCGGAACTGGGAGAAGGGAGAAGAATCGATCAGTTCCCTTATTTTCGCTTCGCTGGCGTCCATTTACGCCTTTGGAGCGCACTCCTACTGTTCTAACTTACTGTTTTCGCTACTCGCGCGGTGGACCCAAAACCACTCGTGACGCCCAATCTGTACCGACTTCGTAATCGATTTTGGTGAAGAACAAACTGTTGTCATGACAAACGCCCTCCACCGCCATTTCCGCGGTCTTTTCAATCACGCGACTCGCGCAAATGTCGCGAACTATGAACTTGTCTCGCTCGACTTAAAATTGCAGCAGCATCGAGAATCCAGATCCGCAGCGTATGCAGAAAAACACCATTAATCACACTTATGAATTCACATACTGCTTCTCCTTTCGCTTCGTCGTCCACGGCCACGCCTTTGCACCGATGGTATAGTCGAAGTTTCCCATAACCCTGAATGAGAAGACGTAACATTTGTAAGAAATTATCATGTTTAGAGAAGTAATCGTCTCGAATCTCATCCTTTTTTCTATGGAAACAATCGAGCGAACGATGCTCAAGTTTCCGGACATTTGGCACAAAAGAAAGGTAGGCAAAATCTCTCCTAACACTCTCCTCAGTTATCTGCGCGAAGTCGAGCAGTTCTGCTAATTAAATAACCAGCTTCTACAGCGGACTCAATAATTCACTGTCCATAGATGGCGACAGTACGAGATGGCGTTTACTGTAACAAAGGAGGAGGGCATGCCAAGGGCTGCAGTGAGTTGCGATCACATCGCTCGCGCGCCATCTAGGCGTCTGATCGCTCGCTTGATCAGATCGCGATGTAGAACACGCTCTGAGGCAGCGTTCATACTTCGCGACAGCAGCGGCGATCGCGGCGACCTCGGCGATCGCCGCGATCGTCGGTACATGGCAGAGCGCGCCCCAACGCTATTACTTGCGCTCCGAAGGCTTTTGGGGGTAAGCGGCTCAATTTCATGCTTTTTTTCCTTTAACTGCAATTTCCTTAGGTACTGAAGCTTGGTTTGACACAAGGGGTGAGCCCAACTTAATGGCTTTTGTTCTATTTTCTTTCTTGATTCAGGATAGAAATGAGCAAAAAGCGTGAGAGCTTCATTTAAGGTAAATTTTTTATTGTTTCTTTTTTGTCGAGCTTATACATGAGGTTATAAAGTTTTCACCTGTTGATGTTGCGTAAAATGATTAGTGTTTTGGTTCCTAGGTGAGTTTCTTTCTGTTTCTTTTTTTTCTTCGTTGTGGAACACTTCAGACGATAGGAACTTTCAAGGCGCTTGCATAAATTGAAACAATAAAAACAAAAGAAAAAAAAGAAGCTCACCCAGGAAAGTTGGCCTTATCCCGACCTAAAAGGAAGTGAAACCTTCTTACCTCATATTCCAGATCTGCTTATGTGTAGAAAGTCGTAGCTTATCTGTTAGTAGCCCTTATTAAGAGTAAAGAAGGTCTTACAAGTTGAATTCCCTTATTCATCAGGCGAGCATCCACAATAGCGTTGGGGCGCGCGCTGCCATGCACCGACGATCGCGGCGATCGCCGAGGTCGCCGCGATCGCCGCTGCTGTCGCGAAGTAACGCTGCCTGAGGCTGCGTTCATACTTTTCGTCGACGTTTGGTGTTTCAAGGGTTTTGAGCGAAAAGGAAAGTTAGTCATCGATCTAGTGTTTCGAGGATTTTCGAGCGTTTCACTGAAGAGCAATACTGATACTTTCCTTTTCGCTCAAAACACTGAGTTTCCCCTAAAACACCCAGAACGCTCAAAACGCCGCCGGGAAGTATGAATGCCGCCCAAGAAGGTCATAATGGATGTGAA